AGACAGAAATAAGTCTAGGCGTTGTGTTCTTTCATTACCTTATTTGGTCATCATGCTTACTCGTTGTCAGAAGTTTTCATGACCATATTTGGCTGTCATACAATACTTTTAATGTGGTTAACAAAGTTCTTCCATAAAATTTCAAACTCAAAACATTTGCTAATAAGCAGTTGTTTCACTTATACCCCTTGAAAGAAAATTTTTGTTTCCCAATAAAAGTTTCACCATAAAATCTTTGTGTATCCTTATCCATCCCATTGTCTAGTAATTTTTACAATTCATCTCATTATTTGCTACTCATACACAATCATAGTTACTATCTCAAAGTCAGAATTGCAAATTAAAGTTCATTTCACCTAAGTCACCCTTATAATAGCATTTTGTGTGATCCTTGGCAGTTTTAGGAAGTTATAAAGTTTCTTCTGTCCTTCTCCCAAACCCATAGCATTTGCACACTGCTTTCTGTCAATGGGTCATTGGAATATCACACATGCCATAGCGTGGAATGTGTTCTTGCCATCTATGGTATTTATGTTAATGTCAATGTTGTCATCTCCTTCTTATAGCAGGCTCCCTCCCTGATTATTTGGAATGACTCCTGCTGGTGATTATGCATCTTGACCACTAGAAAGCTGTTCTTTGGCAGTTGATGCAGTTCGTCATAGCTTACACTGAATCCATGACTATAGAGACAGTCTGTGATTCCTCTTATACTGTAGTCATGCAATTGTAGAGCAAGTCCCAAATTGAGTGGTGCTATAATATTTTTACTTGAAACATAATGCATCCAGCAAGAGTCAAATGATGTCGTGTCTCATCAGAGCACTGGGATCAGCAGCATCACATTCATGTTTACCAATGAGCCATGATAATACCATAAATAGTTCGCATGGCATGATTTTCAGCAACGCATCAATGTTCTGCTCACTTGCCCTGGGATATACTTTTTCAGGTGGGATGCCCTTCTGAGTGTTCCATACTATTGTTACAGCTTCGTAGAGTAATGTTTGTTTAGTTCAGGTTCAACATTCAGTAGATCAGTCTCTATATCTAATGCATGGAGTTGTTTTTTAAGGTCATTTGTTACTGAGATTGCATCTACAAGAGTGATCGTTTGGTTGAGTACAATATTTGAATGGCCTGGTTGCTTCAGAATTACTGTGGAAATTCTATAATGCTTCAAAAGCCATCTTTTGAGTTTTTCATTACGATACCCATGTGCCTCACTTTCAAATAGGTAGTTTTTCATTTTATCCAAAAGTGATGGCAAAAAGAATGTCTTTCCTTGTTCTAGGTCATCATAGATCTCTTCTATCGAATTTTTGAAGGCCTCATCATAGCATTTGTTTGCCTCTTCACTACTTTTACTGTGGCATACAAATTTAGACTGTCATGGCACTGTTACTAGGTAAGCAGCATGGCAGGAGTTGTGGTACAACACATCTATAGCAATCAAATCTTCTCAACCAAAAAGGTGCAGCATATTATGGTCTTGTTTCAAAGTAGCAGCTTCATTGATATGTTTTTCTTTATCTTTTATTTGAATTTTAGATGAATGACAGATGATGCAAGTTGACCAATCCATACATGTAGTACTAGTTCTTGTAATTTGTGCATTCTGCTGGTGAGTATCTCTCTCTCCAAAGGAGAAGAAAAGGGCAAATTTATTTTGCTGGTGTATTTTTGGTAGCAATTCCTGCGATACAACACCTTAAGAATGGTTTCATCACTGTCAATATGTGCTTTTACAAATTTTCTGTCCTGCTTCAGCTCCTGTATACTTAATTTTTCTTGACTTGCCACTTGGCAAATTATGCACTTTGAAAAGTCTTTAGACTGCTTGTATCTTTTGCTTTTCAGCAGTTTTAGAGGACAAGTCATATTAAGGAGTTCTAAGCATTTCTACAACTACTATTAAGCTATGTGTTGATGTTCAGCTACAACACAAATACCTGCAAAAAAAATAATTGAGACATTTTAATAGAATTATAATGCACTGCTTTTTAATATAAGCACCAATATATTGAAAAATATATATGCATACATACTGAAGATGAACATATATAAGCTGTAAAAGGCATAAACAGTATATATATATAATGTTTATGAAATGTGATATAGAAATGGGGAGGGGTGTTGTCATGCAGTTTTCACTTGTTTCTACTATTCATACATTAGTACAACAGGGTGAACCTTAAAGCTGACATATCAAGCTCTTCTCTGATATATGTTGTAGCTTTGTAACATAGGTGTGCACCCTGACCCTCATTTTGGGCCTTTGCCCACTCATCTGGAAGTTTCCAGAAGATACTGCCATAGTAAGTATACCAGCCTTTCTGGTTATCTGTAGCATTATTTTGTTTGGAATGCTCCAGAAAACACTACTGGAGTGAATATGCCAGCCCTTCTGGTTATCTGTGGCATCGTTTGCTTGGAAGGTTCCAGAAAATACTGCTAGAGTAAGTATACCAGCCCTTGTTATCTATGGCATTGTTTTGTTTTGAATGTTCTGAAGATACTACTATAATGAATATACCAGCCATTGTGGTTATCTGTGGTATTGATTTGTTTGAAATGTTCCAAAAGGTACTATTAAAGTAATTATATCAACCTTTCTTGTTATCTGTGGCATTGTTTTATTTGAATGTTTTGAAGATACTACTATAATGAATATATCAGCCATTGTGGTTATCTGTGGCATTGTTTTGTTTGATATATGTATTACTAGAGTGGCAATACTGAATTGTGTCAAGTGCCTAATATCTTTCTAGTCAAGTAAAATTAGTTTGGAGGTGCTGTGCACAGTGTATGAATATATAAATGTAAAGTGAATACAAAATTTAAGGTGATTGTAAGTCATTAGCTTTGTTGAAAATATAATATATATATATATTTGTTTTTATACGAGACATTAGCAAGGCAATATAACAATATATCTTTTTAACTATTTTATTTTTATAAATTTTTGCCATGCAGAATTTTATCGAAGTTGTATGCTACTTCATAAATGTAAGGTATTTATAACTTATTATATAATAAAATTTGTAAAACATCAAACCAAATCAACCCCTCAAAAAAGGGTTTGTACTGGTGGTGGTAGTGTTTCTTTTTATTCACTCATGCTTCCACATGTTTCTTTTGGACCTTAAATTTAATTACTAATAAACTTAGCATGTGCCACATAGTAGTAGGTTAGATGTAATTACTACAACAATGTATTGGGGTTAATAGGTTCATTGTGACATTTGCACTGGTTTCCACAGCCTTAATAACAATGGAGTAATAATCATTTTGTATTCACCCATGTGAGAGGAAATTACAGATTGTAGTATGGAATTTATTTATCAGGAAAGATGAAACAATGTCAGTAAAAAAAAAAAAAAAAAAAAAGAATTATACAACATTCAGGAAAGATGGAACTATATGAGTG